ATTTTCACGGCACTGTACATTTAGCATAAATGCACAAATGCTATAGCTTAATCATAAAAAATACTGAAATTATATTCCCCTACTACTTTAATACATTTAATACAAGTCTACATTAATGATATAATAAAATTCAATACGAATATCCCACATTTCTGCCACAATACCATGGTGCAATTAGTATTAATACAGTAAATCCAATTTAAATGATGGCGATTTGTAGATTGAAAGCCTTCTGACTGTATCGTTGCACACAGTGTTTCTGCTGTTTGTCAGCGCTGTTTCATCTGGCTTTAAACTAGTTTAAATCACAGAGTCATTTGTGTTCTGACTGAATTCTGATTCGCGAATTCTCATCATAAACAACAAAGCGCAGATGTATTTGCTATGTAAGTATAAGAGATTTATTCATCATATTGTGTAGATAGCTTCACTGATTATAATGGGAATGTTTTTTTAAAGTGCATATACTCGCGCTAGCCTGAAGTCAGTTATGATGTTCTTTGGTAATGTAAATGTTCTTTGCTCATTTTCTGTAGCTGCTTTTTGAATAACTGAGGAAATGTAAGCATTATAATTAGTAGCTTACGATGTTTCTATTAATTTGTTATCATGTTAAATACAAATTCAGTCATATTAAAAACATTAGTCTGCTTTTAGCCTTATGCTGCAGTTGGTTCACTTTCCGGCAATGAAACTAAGTAAATAATTAAATCATTTAGCACGATAATATCATGTATCGGTTAGAGATCGACCGATATATCGATTTACTGATATTTTTCCCGATATTTAAGTGTTTTACAATAATCGGATATCGGTTTTGTAATATCGGATTCACCGATAAACGCCGCCATCTTGTGGATGCTTTGAGAATTACGTGCAGGATCACCATTGCAGTACGTCTGAGAAGAAACAAGACAACAACAACGGCGTGCACAGGTACTTGATTTACTGTAGTTAGTCAACTTTATTTAACATAACAGCCATTAATGCGCACAAATGAGATGTATTACATAAATGCCTGATATGCAGTTTATGCAGCTTGGCTTGAAGAAATAGAGACGAACTCACGGAGTCACGTAAGATAATCCGTCAAGTCCTGTCCCAATAAAGACGTAACTTAAAAACAGGAAGATGGCAAAAACATTTTCACGGCACTGTACATTTAGCATAAATGCACAAATGCTATAGCTTAATCATAAAAAATACTGAAATTATATTCCCCTACTACTTTAATACATTTAATACAAGTCTACATTAATGATATAATAAAATTCAATACGAATATCCCACATTTCTGCCACAATACCATGGTGCAATTAGTATTAATACAGTAAATCCAATTTAAATGATGGCGATTTGTAGATTGAAAGCCTTCTGACTGTATCGTTGCACACAGTGTTTCTGCTGTTTGTCAGCGCTGTTTCATCTGGCTTTAAACTAGTTTAAATCACAGAGTCATTTGTGTTCTGACTGAATTCTGATTCGCGAATTCTCATCATAAACAACAAAGCGCAGATGTATTTGCTATGTAAGTATAAGAGATTTATTCATCATATTGTGTAGATAGCTTCACTGATTATAATGGGAATGTTTTTTTAAAGTGCATATACTCGCGCTAGCCTGAAGTCAGTTATGATGTTCTTTGGTAATGTAAATGTTCTTTGCTCATTTTCTGTAGCTGCTTTTTGAATAACTGAGGAAATGTAAGCATTATTAGTAACTTACAATGTTTCTATTAAATTGTTATCATGTTAAATACAAATTCAGTCATATTAAAAACATTAGGCTTCTTTTAGCCTTACGCTGGAGTTGGTTCACTTTCCTGCAATGAAACTAAGTAAATAAATAATTAAATAAATTTGCACGATAATATTATGTATCGGCGATCTCACAGGCTGACGATACGATGACATGACAATTGAGCATATCGCCCAGCACTACGCTGCTTAGTGCTCGTGTGACCGAAACTCATCAGTGAGTAAACTCATTTGCTCTAGTGAGCTTGCACCACGCTGTCAGACTCTGTTCCATGTTTTGTGTGTGTCCTGCTCCCCATGTGCCTTCCCATGCCCTTATTTGGTTAGTTTCCTGTTCCTCCCCTGATTACTTGATGTTTCATTGCTCCCAGGTGTGTCTCGTCATCCCCTCCTCCTGTGTGTATAAATAGTGTTCCCAGTCCCAAGTTCTCTGTCCGCTGTTAAACGTCTTCCTGAGTTCGTCTCCCTTGGTTCATGCAAATAAAGTCCTGTTAAAGTATTCTCCAGCGTCTCCTCGTTCCTCGTGTGGGTGCAACGTGAAAGAACAGCGGACCAAACAGTAAGCGGCATCCCTTCCCCGTGTTTAATTTCCGTGTTTTTTGCAAATTTTTTTTGTTTCCTGGTTTTTCCTCCACGCGGCGATGGAAATTGCCGCTCGCGTCGCCGCCCTAGCTCGCCTCGATCTCCCCTTCTACGACTACGCCAGGGAGTTCTGCAAGCTCGCGGAGGTGACGGCGTTAGAAGACGCCGTCCTCAATCAGCTGTTCTGGCTCGGGGCCAACTACCATCGCCCTGTGGACCTCCCAGACACCACTGGACTCACTTGGAGGGAAGGAGTTTTCCGGTGTCTGGGGAGTGTCCAGTCCCGAGCCAGAATCAGTCCGCCGCCGTCCGCGGCTTCCCCAAGTCAGCCGGCAGTTAACGCTCCGTGCTGCACGGTTCAAATGCGTAGCGCTGTTTCATTATATCGAACATTAATCAAATTCTTGTTAGCATTTTATTGAGGAAAATTAAATCGCGACAATTATAGTTTGTTTTATTGCCCAGCCCTACTTTCAATGTATGGGGAAAACGTTTAAATATCTTCTTCTATGTTTCACAGAAAAAAGAAAGTCATGACAATTCATTTATGGGTGAACTATTACTATAAAAAAACTTTCAAATTGGATTTCGAGACGTTCTGACCACAAATACATTCCTACAGCTCAGAAAAGGGCAACCGGGATGAAGTTGTGGCCAGAAAACATTGCGCAGCCGTGTCAATGCCACTTATATTTTTCCAAGGATAGGAATCTGACACGGCTTTTCCCCTCAAACTGAGCTGGACTGGCACATTGATAGAGCTCGACAGGGGCCTCTTCCCGACCTTAGAGGAAAAAATGCCCCACTTTTCACTGTGACTGTGGTTCGCTGCTCAAGTAGCATAAAAATGCTTTCCACCACAGTCAGCACTCCATCAAGTCATGCAATTTTCCAAAGTTCTGTTATGTTTCAACATGGAAAAACGCTAATAGAGTGAAGCTTTATATCAGGCCTTTCATAGTGAATGACAAGCCCACCTTGAGTGGCACGGCATCCATTATATAGTAAGGAACAGGGACACTGCTACAACCAGAAATGTTTTCCTGTAACTCACAGCAACTCGAAACCTGTCTGCTTGAGGAACACGAAGAGCCTGGAGCCATTTTGATCAATCTTAAAGGCTCTTACGGGGTTTTAAACACATTTTATATTCTTTTTTTCCCTATGGTTTAGCATATGATTTCGTCATTAACCACTGCAAATGGATAGAAGCTGTGAGAGCATTGTGTAATACTGCTGATGTAAGAACTGAGCCTAAATTCTCTTTATTAAAATGAGACTTCCAGTCTGAACGAGAAGAAAGGGACACTATAAGGTAATATTTCTGTCATGTGACCATCATTTTGAGCTATCGATGATAAAGTGAGCGAGCAGCTACAACTTCTCTTGAACTATCATCATAGACTGAATTAGCATCCAAATTGTCTTGATCTTTAGCTCAGTAAACAAGGGAGAAAAAGGAATTACATAAAGTATTGAGATTAATGGGAAATAAATGGTTGGTCAATTCACAAGCTCGGCTTGTAATAGAATGTACATTTATTAAGGTTTGACAGCGGTAAGCTGGGTCTATATAAACCAGTGAACCATGAATCATTAGCAATCAATAACTTCAGAGAAATGATGATGAAGAGATGGATTCAATGAGTGCCAATCAATGTATGGTCCTTTATAAAGAACACCCACTTCATCTAAATAATGTGGGACTCTATAAACTAAACAAAATGACTGAAATGTAATTGTATTATCCTTCATTAAGGAAAAAAATCTTATTTGAGATGGGTGATGTGAGATTTCTAGTGTCTACCTAGGAGTAGATCTATAATAATAATAATAATAATAATAATAATAATAATGTAAAGTGTAAAATATAATTACAAATATTTTTAAGCATTTTACATTTTACAATATTATTATTATTTTAATAATAATATTGTAATAATAATAATATTGTAAAATGTCAAATATAATTAAAAAAAAATTCCCTTGTATTTTTTTAATAAACGCATACAGTCCTCACAGTTTTTCACTAAACGAAACAGAAAAAGAAAAATATTTAATATTATTTTTAATATTATTTTTATGGACCAATACAACAATCCATAAATAAACAGTAATTTTTCTATTTTTATATATCTATATCAATAAACGTCAACAAATACGGTATATTGTCAATATTTGTTATATTGCACAGTCCTGTCCCTCAGTCTCAGTCTAATCATTTGAAACCTATAAACAGCAGGTCTTTCGATAAGCATTGCTTCAAAATCTAAGAGAGACACAATAGAACCTATTGGAGCTGTAATAGCTCACATACAGATTCTCTGATCTGAATAACCGTCCTGCGCTAATCCCAGAGGTGCACCCGTTTCACACATGGAGCTGCTCGCCCCTGCAGGATGTGTGGAATGTAAATGGCGTTTTAATACTTGGATTAAAAAGTAAAAAGCACAAAAGCTAAGCGACACCAAATCCTCTGATCCCAGTCTCATAACATACAGCCTAGCTTGAGGAACACTTTTAACCTACATAGCGTGGCTATGTGTCCGATACATATCTAACCTGATAATATCAGCAAGATGATTTACTAGCGGATGGAGGAAAATGAGGTCGAGGTGCATTAATGTACAAATGAATAAGATATTTAGTGGAGATGCTCACTCTTCTAGTGTTATCCAGGACGAGGGGGTCGGGCCGGCCGTAGTTGGGAGGGTTGGCGTGGGGATCATAGCCGAGCCGGGCCAGCATGGGGACGATGACAGGCATGTCCCGCAGCACATCTGGGGGGATCTTACCCACCCACTTGGATAAGGCCTCCACGTTGACAGGCTTGATCACCTGGTCTGTAGATCTCTCTACCCTGTGGAGCAAAAGAAGTGTGTCAGTGGAGCAGGAACATGTGCACAGGTGCTTTACCGTCTTACCGCTGTGGACTAATTGGGTCTAATTAGATTGAGCAATGCAATTAAAGAAAGCTCCAGGCTGTGTATGATGCTTCAAACGAACGGCCTTTCATTCTCTCCAAGATCATCACCCAAATGCATCCCATTTCATATTCCACACTATCCTTGCATTTGATGAGGTGCAAATGACATTGATGGATGTTTCTTGATTTGCTAGTCTAGATGTATAAATTTCAGCACAACCTGGCAGAGTTTCAATGGCTTTTTGCTGACATAAATGAACTTACCGGTTTTATTGAACTCCAATAAATGATTATAGTCTAGTTTTTACTGCTTACTGTTGCACATATTCCACTTTCTAACCTGCTAAATAAGCTGCTTCCATCACTTCACCATAAAACGTGTGTGGATTCAAAATTGCAGAGAGATTAAATATGAATCAGGCATTATGTCCCACCCTAGGTCAATTATTCATATGTCTGAAATTAAATATTTACAAAGCCATGGAAAAACCAGTTTGTTGTCAGGTTTTTGTTTATAGAGAACACATAGGAGTGGCTTACTTTTTTAGGAGAGTTTAGTTTACCTATCACTGACATTTGCATAGGGATGAACCTTTTTTCCAAGAAAATTGGAAAATCTACTGGACGCCCATCATTGTTCTCTTATGACAGCAGATTGGAACTACAAATATTGGGTCAATCCCACAAAGCCTGTCAAGCACATGTGCGTGTTATATTGCCCTTGAAAATCAAAAGAAAATAAATTATGTTTTGCACTGATATTATTTTCTTGACTATTTGGCACATTATCCCACCATCTCATTATAATATATTAAGATAATTATGTAATTATCTATTATTGTTAATTATATATTATTGTTAATTAAAAAGTATTGTTTTTAGTGTAGATGCAAATAAATTGCAAAATTATAAATTGCAAACAAAATAATAAAGTAAAATTAATACATTTCTTTTGACAAAAATAGTTTATAACATATATAAAATAATAATTTATTAAAATAAATAATTATCAATTTTATATTATTATTCATTATAAATATTACATTCATACATACAGTACATACATACACATACACAAATGCATATACACACACACACATACATATACAGTGGTGTGAAAAAGTGTTGGCCCCCTTCCTGATTTCTTATTTTTTTGCATGTTTGTCACACTTTACATTTATTTATTTAATTTTTTTTCACTCCATTAGAAAATGCTCTCTTTCTCTGTTTTTCCAACTTTGAATGGATCTGTCTCTTGTTTGGACTGAGATGACTGCAGTTGGAGACGGATGGAGTCATTGAGGCCATATCCCTCCCCGTTTTTATTATTTCTTCCCTCATAGAGAAGACTGGCTCCAGATGGGAAACAGATTACTACACTCAATCCCCATCAGCAGCCAAGACACCGGGGAACGTCAGCTTCACTGCCGCCCCACATCAGAGTGCTGTGTGGATCAAGTGCACAACACCCTGAGGTGCTTATAATCCCTGAATACAGCAAACAATGACACAACAACCAGTGGTAAGACTCATGCTGGCACGTTTAGGAGTGTGTTTGTGTGTGCATGTGTAAAACCAACTGAACGACCCAGCAGTCTGCGTGACAAACGTGCCTCATCATGCCTTCTCAAACATCAACCACAGAGCCGTGACAAGTGATGGGAAGGCCAACCCTTTCTCTTTCGGACATTTTGTTTCAGTGAAAAAGTTTCACCAGTTAGTTTACGTAATCACACAATGACATCAGGTATACACACAACCCAGTCTCACGGCATTTTGTGACATAGTCATGAAATTTTAATCTATTGATTTGTGTTCATGGACATGAATTTCTCTTTTTTTCGTGTCACTCAGCACGACTTTCAGTGTAATGTATTTCAATAGGAATTGTCTCAGTGCAGGGTACACTTTCAGTGTTTAAATCTTTGCATTTGTAAAACTAGAACTTATTTTATATTATTTTGGAGCACCTAACACCACTCCTTACCCTAAACTTAACCACTTCTCAACGATATAAAACACAAGCAAATGTAAATACGGGCACATGTATTTATTACAAAAATTGTCCACAAACAGTAGAAAAGTATTACAAACATCTCATTAGGGTTGTGCCGATAGACGATAGTATCGTGTATCGACGATAGAGATATCGCCTGTGGCTGATGCCACTGACGATAGCAAGACGATTATTATTATTATAATTATTATTATTATCAGGTTAGTAATACTATCTAATTAATATTAGGGCTTATTTGTTCCATTATATTTCTTTTTCCGCATTTTAACAGCGTTGCGTGTTATAAGCAATCACACACGATTATGTTATGCTTATGAATGCAATGGCCAATCAGAGGTGTTCAGATGAGTCATTGTTGAAACAGCGGAGTTTCGTTGTTCAGCGCACGCTGACTGAATTCTGACTCGCAAATTCTTTCATCATAAACAACAAAGTGCAGATGTACGTGCAATGTAAGAATAAGAGATTTATTCATCATACAGTGTAGATAGCTTCACTGATTTTAACGGGAGTGTATTTTAAAATGCATAAACTCGCGCTAGACTTAGCTTGTGATGATGTTCTTTGGTAATGTAAATGGTCTTTGCTCATTTTCTGTAGCTGCTTTTTGAATAACTGAGGAAATATAAGCATTATAATTAGTAACTTACAATACTTCTATTAAATTATCATGTTAAATAGAAATTCAGTCACATTAAAAACGCTGTTTTTAGCCGTACGCTGGAGTTGGTTCACTTTCCGGCAATGAAACTAAGTAAATAAATAATTAAATAAATTAACACGATAATATCGTGTATCAGCGATCTCACAGGCTGATGATATAGGACGATATGGAAATTGAGCATATCGCCCAGCACTACATCTCATATTGCATTCCAAATCTTCCGATGCCATGTGATGTCGTTATATGAACAGACTGAGTGAAATTTAAGGTTTTATTGCTGAAATAATCTTGCTCCGTGAACGCTCAGTTACAAGACACACGACAGCCAATGCCAATGCAATTTCACAATCAAATCTGACATAACGCTTATTTTATAAAAAACATTTTTTTTTAAATATTATATGGTGGCTGATTAAAAAGAAATCACCGAACGTGTTGCAGTGGCAGAAAGAAAGATGTTTCAAACAGTTCAGTCCGATTTGATGAAATGGTTCATCCAGTTCACAAAAAAAAGAATGATTAGTTTGTGAACTGGACATCACTAAATGTAACTGGAGACAGTAATGTGCTGCCATCTGCTCTTCAGAATTACAAACCTAAGGTCTAACACTTTGAGGTGTGTATTTGGCAATCTAAAAATGCTAAACTGAGGAACATCTAGTCCTCTTACATCTAGTCTCCTCTTATTCCTGGAATGTAGGAACACAGCGGTCCATGAGTTATTGAATTCACCTTCCCATCACACCCTCAGCGTTAGAGACCTGCATTTCTCCCCAGGCACCACAAAGTCCATTTATACTGGCAAGCCGCTCCGCTGTACATTTCATTGTTCAAGTCCCTGGCCGACGCAGTCCTTCATTTCTCTAATCCATTTACACTGGAATTGCACTTCGGCTGCAACGTGATTAATAGAATTACTGTTTCCCAAGACAGAGAGGACTGTTTTCTTTCTTTGCTGCAGTTATTTTCCTTAGTGGAAAACTCAAAAATCATTCATTGAAAAACAGAAAAAGCAAGCACACGTAAGCGTGGACAGGAGTAAAAGCCATTTCTGACAGCCTGGCAGTGGATATGTCATGCCATTCCCTAGAAAATAACATCCTCGGTTCAGCAGTTGCTATGGCTAACACATGCCAAACACGCAGTCTGCCTGCGCTGACGCTAATCGGTATGAATCTCTTTATGATACATAGCTGACACCCTTTGAGGTGAGATTTGCATCTGCAAGCTTGGTAAAAGCACAAATACTGTATGAAAGAAAACAGCAGGGATGTGTTGCTGCAGTAGCCACAGAACAAGGATGCAGATAAGCTGTTTGATTTAAAGGGGTCATATGATGCGATTTCAAGTTTTCCTTTGTCTTTGAAGTGTTACGATCTGTTCATGCATATGTAAGATCCGTAAAGCTGCAAAGACTGAAGTCTCAAACCCAAAGAGATATTCTTTAGAAAAATGAAGACTCGTCCACGCCGTCCTAAAATGCCTCATTCAAACACGCCGCCACATATTTACGTCACTGTGTTGGAAGATTTGCATAACAGCGCCCAAATGTTTCTGCAAAGAAAGAAGGCATAACTTTTATTCTTGCTGTAGTATTGTTGCCGTTGCCGCCACCGCCATGTCGTGGAGACGCTGTGTTTCCAAATATTGTAAGGGGCGAAACATTTCTGTCACATGCTTCAGGTATTCAGCCAACCACAACGCACTAGATTGCTGGCCAATCAGAGCACACCTCACTTTTCAGACCGATGAGCTTTGTAAAAATCGATGCGTTTCAGAAAGGCAGGGCAGAGAGGACCAACAATGTGCGGTATGTGGAAAATAATGTGTTTTTTTAACCTTAAACTGCATAAACACATTGCATTACACCAAATACATAAAATAATGTTATGTTTAGCATTGTCATATGACCCCTTTAACCAGAACTGGTTACACTGATATACCATATTTCATATTTTATCAATTAATTTCATCATATGGTGATAATTAATCACATTATGCATTTAGCACATGCTTTTATCCCAAGCAGCTTACAATAGAGGAACATAACAATTTGTCACAGAGCCAACAATATGCAAACAAACATATGCATATTAGCTGGGAAAAAAAAGACAATTTAAAGTATTATTTGCATATAGGTATTTCAAGCCTTAATTTATTCCTAATAAGGAATATTAATAATGATGCACAAATGTTAAAATTCTGGCTAATACTGATATTAAGGCCAATAATATTATGTAAAGTATGGAAAAA